TTTTTTTTTTTTTTTTTTTTGAAGACTAAACGGACTATATCCGTTCCTATGAACAGCCTTATCACACGTTTCCCTCAACAAGTAGATTGCTAATCACATTTGCTCTTCAGGTGCTTTGCCCTCACGGTCGATTGGCGGTAGGGGAGGGGGGCGTCCCCCACCCACGCCCCAGACTGTAGAGTATTTTTCTTGCGCGGAGAATATTACAGTTTTTTCCATGCTCGGAAATCATCCTTTTGTTTACATTTGCGCGGACGGATCTGCGGACGGATGATGAAACAGGTGCGCGGAGAGGTCAAAAGAATTTTATGCGCGGAGAGGTCAAAAGAATTTTATGCGCGGAAGATGATTAGAATTTTATGCGCGGAAGATGATTTTAAAAAAGAACTAAGCACGCGCGGAAAGTTACCAGAGAACTCCATTTGCGCGGACAGAATCTGACCAAACTCTACAGTCTGGCCCCCGCCCTACGGAGAGTCAAGGTATGCTGATTGTGCGCGTGCTGGCGAGGGAGGCTGCTTTCATAAAGGTCGGGGACGCAGCATTTGCATTTGCTAATATCCATACTTACCAAAGGATGCAACATTCATGCCTGCCAAGGGACCGTAGTCATACCGGTTATAAATACATTCATAAGCAGTTTGCGTCCGATTGTCAAGGAAGAGATTCCATGCAAGAAGGGCTATATCCATACTATATTTATACATGAAAATAGAACCTACGTTCCGTGTTAGCAGAGGATACATCACGCGAGCTCATCCCAGCGAGCGACCCAGATGAAAAACAAGTAGAAAGACTTTTTGCTTGTAATCCACAGAAAGAGCTGTTAAACAGTGCTACATCTCAGCAATTGCAGAGTAACGTGCAGGGAGTGTTTTAAAGCCGCCTTCTAATTTCGCTTGTTTGTCGTTTCATCACAAATGCGCAACGGAAAGCCGGGGAATAAACCTACGGTACACACACGCCGCGTTTCATTTACTCTGGTTGCCGCCCCGTGTTGACAGAGTCTGCATTATTTTTCTTAGTTTTCGACTCTTTTCACTGGTCTACGTCTATGCTTTTCTCTCCCTCCTTATTGTCATGGATAATAAATATGTTTTTTTTTATTTACTTAGATTCTATGCTTTTCTCTCCCTCCTTATTGTCATAGATAATGTTTTTTTTTTTTTTTTTTTTTTTTTTACTTAGATTAAATAAATACCATAATCTATCAACTTTTGTCATTATCACTATTCTGATCATATATATCTTTCCTTTATACTTTACTGAAACCTTTTATAATTCGATATTATTCCTTAATCATCGATTATTCATTTATCATTAAGGTTTGTGTATCTTAAAATTCTCATTCCTCGCAGATTTTCTTATCTATTAATTCCTTTCTCTTCTCCCTTACTTTCCTCCTCTTCCAAAGTTTTCTTTATATATCAGCCAATTTTTTTTTTTTTTTTTTTTTTTAACCCTCGTCTGCTCTGCCTCATTTATCTTACAATCCTTATTCCAGTGAGATTCATTAATCCTACTTTACTTGAATGAAACTCAGTAAATATTTTTTCTGGTGTTTCCCCGTCTCACATAATTAGAATTCGTGTTTTTGTACTGCAATTCGTGTTCTTTGTAAGTGCACTTGTTTCATTGTTCCTCTCTCTTTCTCTCTCATTCTTTGTGTATCTCTCTGTCCCTTTGTTCCTCTCTCTCTCTCTATCTATCTCTATATCTTTATCTGTCTAATCCTTTTCTCTCTTCTCTCTCTCTCTCTCTCTCCTCTCTCTCTCTCTCCTCTCTCTCTCTCTCTCTCTCTCTCTCTCTCTCTCTCCTCTCCCTCTCCTCCTCCTCTTTCCCTTCCTCCCTCCCTCCCTCCCTCTCTCTTTCTTTCTCTCTCTCTCTCCCTCCCTCGAATTCTCTCTCTTTCCTCCGCATCACCTCTCTATTCCCCCCCAACTCCCCCTATCTCCCCCCCCCCCCCCCCCACTCCATCTCTTCCCGCGGACGCATCTATAGAAAATGGTGAAATTGTGAAGACCAATGTCTGGCAGAACGAGCGGGAAAAATTCCAAACATCTGTTTCCTTTTTCCCCCGTGTTTTTTATTTCCTTTTTTTTCTTTTTTTTTTTTTTTTTTTTTTTTTTTTTTTTTTTTTTTTTTTTTTTTACTTTTCTTTTCTTCCCGACAGAAAGCTACATTTGCATCCTCCGAAATGCCACAGTCGTCATGGATCCTTCGCCATCTGTATAGAAAAAAAAGATAGACAAGTAATAAAATGAATAGATGGTTGTATAAATGAATAATCTAACAAAGAAATGATTGAATAAACGATAGAATTTCAGAAGAAACATGAACAAATAATTTGAAAATCTTGTCTCTTTCTCTTTGTTCTTATCTCTGTGATATTGTTCATTTCTAGTTTTTTAACAAGATTTAATTGTTTTTAGGCACTGAAATTACGTTGTATGTGTATTTACATCTCAAACCTTCCACCATTTTTCGTTTTTTTTTTTTC